CTGAGGCATCATCTGCCTGGTCGGGGATGGGAGTGGGCACCTAACGTTAGACCTGTTGTAGCAGAAAAAAATGTCAAGTGTTTCACTACCAATTTATTTATTGATTATATATTGAAACAATATTTTACATATACTGGCTTGAACAAAATACAGTAGTAAAATTAAATTTACCTGTTTGTTTTACTTTGTTAATGTAGTAACCAGAAAATTTTAATTACATACGTGGCTCACATTACACTTCTCCTGGACAGTGCTGCCTTCGAGCTTGCTGTGGTAGAATTAGACCTAAAATAATTTTGTTTGCTATACTGAGTATTTCTTACTTTTGACTGTTATTACAGATCTACTTAAAATTCTTCCAAATCTCAACTGGAAATGATATCATTCTTTTTCTCAAAGGTTGTTTCTCTTAAATGCTGTAATCTCCAAGCTACCTAATAAAGTATTTGCAGTGTGTGAAAAGATTAAATACTTATGACAAATATGTACTTACAAGGGGTATCATTATACAGGGTGTCCCAAAAGTCTCCATACAAAAGAAAAATTCTGTAAAATTTTGTAATAAATATTTTGTAAATAAAAATACATTTAGCTACAATTTCCCATTTTTCCTATGTATGGTGACTTTGGGGACACCCTGTATTATTGCAATATTGTTGCAACTATGTCTCTTTAAACCTAAAAAGTTCTGTCTTTCTTTCAAAGCACAGGCTAGTGGAAAGTGGCTCCAAACATTGGGCACTTTTGTATTAAAGCTAACAGTACTTTCATTTTCTAGTTGCCACCATGACCCGATCCCCTTTGTCTTGGCTTGTGGCAAAGGATTGGACAATTAAAATTTCTCAGAAGTCCCTTTTCTGAACTCTTGACAAAGCCAAAGCAAGTGCTCTGTCTCTTATTCACAGCAATGGTTTTTGCCTTTCTATGAGAAAGTAAAACTGGGAATAGTTTCCAGAGCTTTCAGAACTTTTTCCATTGAAATGCAAACACTCCTCTGGCGCCTCTGAAAATTCTGAGAAATTGTTGGGTTTTGGCTATATTTCCAGAAAACCTGGCATTCTTCTTCTGTTCATGGCTGGTTTAAGTTCTTCCTTTTCCAAGTACATTCAAGTAAAGGCAGTAATTGACTGTCTCTTGCAGGGCAAACTCTCAATCTGAATACTAAACCAAAGAGTAACTTTTTCATTTCAAATTTTGGATTGTGACCAGTAAACCTGTGAACCCCACCTTTGTTACATCTTCTCTCCAAATGCGATTTAGCTTCCTAACATACACCCTTCTTCTTAACCCTGTGCATGAATTACCACAGCCTTGTAGGCAACTTACAGGGTGATGAGGTACACACAAAGATCACTTGTATGTGGTAAAGGTAATGACAGACATCGTTCTGGATTCTCTAATGTAGCCATCCTAACTGGTTTAAAAATTACCCACCCACGTTCTTTATTGTTTTATACAGTCCGTGCTCTCTATTCCAAAGTATCAGTGTAAAATAAAGTCACCAATCTTTTCCATCTTCATTTCCTCAACAGGATAAGTAATCTGAAGGGGCAAACTAAGAAAGCAATTGCCAAGTGTTCAATTAACGCATCACCAGATTCTGATCTTAGATAGAATCAGCGCAGGTATGTCTTCTTTACTCATTATCTAGAACATATAACTTTGCTCCATCATGTAATAGTAATTTGAAAGACGATGCATTTCTCACTGTTTCACATGCTGCCATCTCATGGGTAGGGATCATGCCTGATTTTTTTTGTTGTTGTTGTTGCTCATAGGTTAAGCTCCATGAATACATATTTAATAATTATGGCTTAAGAAAAAACTTAGCTAACAGTTCCTACCAGTTTGGAAGAGCAAACATGGCAAATTCATGCTCAGGCAGAAGATAATCTGAAAAGTGTCTAATGCTTGTGGAAGAACAAGTACAGACTCAGGAGGAATCAGCTGTCCCCTACTACCTGCTGTGCCAATACAGTAAATCATCTTCAATCTCCATGCCCACCAAATATCAGATACTCAAATATCATAATGAAACCCAGATAAAAATGTTTATGAGATATTCTGGCATAAAATTCAATTTAAAAACACAATCCTCTGCCAGGCGCGGTGGCTCACGCTTGTAATCCTAGCACTCTGGGAGGCCGAGGTGGGAAGATTGCTCTAGGTCAGGAGTTCGAGACCAGACTAAGTAAGAGCGAGATCCCATCTCTACTAAAAATAGGAAGAAATTAACCAGACAACTAAAAATATATAGAAAAAATTAGCCAGGCATGGTGGTACATGCCTGCAGTCCCAGCTACTGGGGAGGCTGAGGCGGTAGGATTGCTTGAGCCCAGGAGTTTGAGGTTGCTGTGAGCTAGGCTGATGCCACGGCACTCGAACATAGGCAATAGAGTGAGACTCTGTCTCAAAAAAAAGAAAAAAAAAAAAACCACAATCCTCTACATTTAACAATAAACTTCTCTAAGACTCTGTTTCAACTTCTGACAAGTGAGGACTCTTAACTAGATAATATCCAAATTTCAGTGATTCTATAAATCTGAGTCACAGGCCTTTACTTACTACAGTCCTACATAAAGCTTTGCAAGCCTATGGCCCAAGATAAAATCAAAAGGTCAGTACTAATCTTTAACAATAAAATTTACCTATACAGGTCATGGTGATTTTCTTGAAAATCAAGAGATGGTAAATATATTCTGGAGCACTCCCTGAGAACCAAGGTAGCAGTTCTGGAAAACTGCTGATCAGCCAACACATCCTCTCATATTATGAGAACAAGGAGGAAGTGGAATCACCTACCTGAGCCACACTGACCTTGCCCTCGTGGCCGGGGGAAACACACTCCTGGACCTCTTCTCCCAGCCACCCATTCCCTCCAACTTTCCATTGCACTCCATGGTTGCCCAAGACATATTTTTCTGAGCATCTTTTATAGACTTTTTCAGGCTCTGGGAGATGGGTTTTGGGGCTTCAAATCTGAGTCTGTAACTAAGATTCTAGTATTAACAGCAAGGTTCCTAAATATGAGTTTTAAATGGTAATAAATTTAAGAATTCAAAGTACATTAAAACTATCATTCACGAGACAAAACTTGTTTGGAAACAGTCATATATTAATAGCACAATGGATTTCCCTTTTATTATAGACAGCCACGATCTGTCCATATTAAGCTTGTAACACAGAGTTGAGGACTGGGGAGACGCACAGAGGCTATCAACTATCAATGTCTGTGTTCTGAGAAATGCAATGAAGTTAGTATTTATCACTAAAGAAAAAAAACGCACTTTTCTTACAGTGGAGAGATTACTGAGGGAAGTATAAAATATTAGCTACAACACTATTTAAACTCGGAAATAAGATTTTGAGTAGATGACCTACATATGTAGAAAATGAAAATTCTTTGAAAACAATTTGCTTAATTCTTAGAACCTTCCAAGCAACCAAATTAGCAAAGGAATCAGTACAATCACTTTGGTACCAATATTGGGGAAAGAATCTGCTCAGTTAAAGCACAAATTCATTCAATATTTACCGCTCAACCACACATATTCTATTTAGAAAAGCATTCTGGGATTCTAACAGATGACACAGAATGGCTCAGAGGGTCCCAGGACCCAAGGAAGAAGAGGCAGGAAGAAGTACGGAGGCAGGAGCCAGGCTGAGCAGCAAACTGCTTTTAATCAGCTCTTCTGTTACAAAGAAAACATAGTAATATGTCAGTGTGCAAAGAAATAAAATGAAAAATTGCTTTCAAAGGCCTCAGAATGGTCCCTGCTTTGAGGCACTGGAAAAAATTGATTTCAGTAATTGAAAGAGAGTTTTGCCATGCATGAACAATCAGCTCCACAGAAGATTCTGCCTGCACGGCCCGCTGACTTCCACGATATCTGTATTAAGATTGTTCTATACCCACAAACAAGCCAGGTGGGCTAAAATCTGTATCTCTTTTTCCAGATGCCTTTAAACATGCTAAGTCAGAAAGTTTGTCATCACAAATGCCAATTAAGATCTTCTGGAAATGTTAGCACATTGCTTCCCAGATATGGCCATGTTGCCAAATCTCACCAAATGAAAGATTAGCCCAGTCTGGACTGAATTCTTTTTTTTTTTTTCAGTTGATGAAGGAAACACTGTCACAGACATCTGTAATTCTTAACCACCGCACAGATAGACAAATTATTTTGTTTGAAAATTGGTGTTTTCATTCTAAATAATGAAGGATTAGCCCTTTTTTTTTCTATCAATAGGAACCTAACTCAAAACAAAATGAAAAAATACTAAGCTTGATTTCACATATCTAAAGATAAGGGATTTGGGGTGATCGCCTTGTTTATAACCCTGTTTCCAAACATGGCCACACCAAAAATATCAAAAATAGCCAAAAAAATCTAAACGATTTTTTAATGACCTTCAGAGAAGATCACTATAATTTATCTCAGTTGTTCATTCTGGAGCTGTCTTATCTTTTTGTTTCCTTGTTTCATTTTTAAATTTTAAAAAAAAATTGTTTATTTGAGGAGCAGCCATTTTGGCAGGTGTTGGGTGTCGCATGAGAGGTCCTGGAGCGCTGTGTCGGCACCACGATGACTGAACCGTGAGGTGGACAGTTGTCGTCCCCGCTGCACGGAGGCGGCTCTGAAGCTCGGCAAAGGCCCCCGGCATGACCAGCGCCAGGGCCAGGAGAGCGACCGCTGTGCCTGCTCCCCACCCAGGTCGTCGGTCGCTGCCGGCCTGCTCGGCCCAGGCAGTCCCACGGTGGCAGCAGAGTTGAAGGACCCGGCTCAGGTTGCTGGTGTGGAGCAGAACATGAAGCGCCTTCTCAACAGTGCGTTTCTATTCAAAGAGAATCTCATGTCAGGAGACCTAGGGCAGACGTGAGTCCCCAAAGGGCCCATTCCTATGAAATGTGTGACCCAACCTCAGGAGACGCTTTGCCCTTGGCTCAGCACCAGGGAGCACACCACAAGCAGAAACTGAATAAGGTGGGAAAAAACTGTATGACGGTGCAAACTCATCAGCACCAGAAGCTGCACACTGGAGAGAAACCCTACAGAAGCCGTGTCAGGAGAACATCGTTTGTAAAGAGATGTGAGTCCCATGTGTTAGGGGAGCCACTTGTCTTCTGTGAAGTTAGGAAGGACTCTTTGCCAAGCTCAGGATTACTCCAGCAAGAGGCCACTCACACTGGGGAGAAGACAAACAGTGAAACCAAGCAGAGACCACCTTTTCAGAGGAAAAAACTGACTAGAGCCCCGGAGAATGCACAAAAGCCTTCAGCACCAAACAGTTGTTCAGCACCAGAAGTCTGTCCCTTAGAGAAGGATGTTATGTGTGCAATGAATGTGGGCAATCCTACCTATAGCAAAAGGAATAGCTTCAATAATCATCAGAGAGTTCACCCTGGAGAAAGACCTTATGACTGGGTGGAAGGTGGGCAATCTTTTAGTCAAAGGACAACCTCATTCAGCATCAGCAGGGACACACAGGAGAAGGGGCCTTGTAAGTGTGCAGAATGTGGGAAATCATTTAGGTACAAGTCCCACCATTTTGAGCATCAGAGAGTTCACACTGGAGAGAGACCTTATAATTGTGGCGTATGTGGGAAATTATTTTACAAGAAGTCTCACCTTCTTGTACACCAGAGTGTTCACACTGGAGAAAGGCCACTCAAATGCAATGAATGCGGGAAAGCATTTACCCACAGCTCTGCACTCCGTGTTTGTCAGAGAGTTCACACCACACAAAAGCCTTGTGAGTGTAATGAAGGTAGGAAATCCTTTGCTGAAAACTCCACCCTCATCAAACACAAAAGAGTTCACACTGGAGAAAGGCCTTATGAGTGCAGTGAATGTGGGAAACCCTTTGCTGAAACCTCCAGTTTCATTAATCAAGACTTCCCATGGCTTCCAAAGAAAGACTTCAAACTTTGTGACTTTTATTTATAAACTAGGTATTAGAATAATTTGTGAGTTTATAGGTCAACTTGAGTAGGGGGAAATTTTTGTGACAACCTCTGGTCCTTTCGAGAGCCACGGGAAGTTCTTGTCTTGTTTACAAGGGATATTGCACTGTGATCAGCACTGGTGTGGGAAATCTGTTCCCCAGGTCCTGCGATGCAGCCCTGTGCCCTGATGTCCAGAATTGTGTAAGGCAATGTCACAGGTTATAAGGCCATAGGGGAAAAATCATAATTTTATAGAACAACTGCATCGATAGGCAGTGGAATAGACTGCAACAACGTAGTTGGAATTTGTGTCTTTTGGAAGGGCATCCGTGGTGATCCAGTCACTATGTCTGTGACAGATAAGCTGGTCTACAAATTCTCGGAACTTCCTTATTATGAATTTTGTCTAAGGGGTGTCATTGTCAGAGGAAATAATATGAAGGTTTTATGGATTCCTATATCTTTTCTGGTCTGTTCACCTCGAGGCCATTCTTGCATTGGCAGGAGGAAGAGGATAGGGAGAAGGGAGATCTCTTAGCTGAGTGATATGGCCCATGTGACCAGCCAGAATTTGAATTTTATCAGGTGGAAATGGCCTTCCTGGCTTATTAGTATTTGCTACCTCAAAGGCTAGTTGCCCCACTTAAGGCATGGGGAGAGTTGGCAGAGTCAACATAGAATTGCCAGACTTATTTATTTTGATACTCATCAGTGATGATAAATGAGTAGTTCATCCTTTTTATATTGCTGAGAAGTATGACCTGCTATAAAATACCACTGTTTGTATATTCATTCATCCGTTGTGGATATTTCAGTTGCTTCTTGTTTTCATCTGTTGTAAATAAAAGTGCTACATTTGAATACAATTCTTATATAGAAAAAAATTTGTTTCTTTTAATCAACAAGTAAAAATTATATATATTCATGTGTACAACGTGGCATTTTGATGTATGTATACAACGTGGAATGGCTAAATCAAGCTATTTAACATATGCATTACTTCACATACTTATCATTTTGTGTGATGAGAATACTTAAAATTTACTTTCTTAGCAATTTTTAAATGTGCGATGTATTATCATTAGCTGTAGTCACCATGATGTACACAAATCTCTTGAACTTATTCCTCTCATCTAACTGCAATTTTGTGTCCTTTGATCTCCCTAATTCCCCACCCCCAGCCTCTGGTAACCATCATTTTACTCTCTACTTCTATGCGTTCAGCTCTTTTAGATTTCACATGTAAGTGAAATCATGCTGTCTTTGTCTTTCTGTGTCTGGCTTATTTTACTTGATAAAATGTCCTCCTGGTTCATCCATGTTGTTGCACTGGACAGGATTTTATTCCTTTTTTAAGGCTGAATATTCCACTGTGGATATATACCACATTTTCTTTATCTATTTAACCACTGATGGGCACTTAGGCTGATTCCATATTTTGGCTTTTCTGAATAATGCTGCAATGACCATGGAGTGCAGATATCTCTTTGATATACTGATTCCATTTCCTTTGGACATATACCCAGTAATGGGATTGCTAGATCATATGGTGGCTCTATTTTTAATTTTTTGAGGAACCTTGGTACTGTTTTCATAATGGCTATACTAATTTACATTCCCACCAACAGTGTAAGAGTTCCCTTTTCTCCACATTCTTGCCAACACTTGTCTTTCATCTTTTTGGTAATAGCCATTGTAAAAGGTATGTGATATCTTATTGTGGTTTTAATTTTCATTCCTGTTTTGATTACAGTGATAGAGAGCATTTTTTCATATACTGTTAGTCATTTGTATCTCTTCTTTTGAAAAATATCTATTCAGATCCTTTGTCCTTTCTTTAATCAGGTTATTTGTTTTCTTGCTGTTGAGTCATTTGAGGTCCTTATATATTTTGGATATTAACTACCTATCAGCTGTATGTTTTGCAAATATTTTTTTCCCATTCTTTAGGTTGTCTTTCACTCTATTGACTGTTTCCTTGGTTGTGCAGAAGCTTTTAGTCTAATGTAATCCTGTTTGTTTATTTTCACTTTTGTAGCCTGTGTTTTTGGGGTCATATCCAAAAAAATCATTGCCCAGACCAATGTCATGGAGTTTTCCCCAGTGTTTGCTTCTAGTGGTTTTATATTTTCCACTGTTACATTTAAGTTTTTATTCCATTTTGAGTTGATTTTTATATATGGTATGAGATAAGGGTTCAATTTCATTCTTCTGCATGGAGATACCCAGTGTTCCCAAGAGTACCATTTATTGCAGAGATTGTCCTTTCCCCATTTTGTGTTCTTGACATCTGTGTCAAAATTAATTGATTGTAATATGTGGATTTATTTCTGGGCTCTCTATTATTTTGGTCTATACATCTATTTTTATGGCAGTACTATGCTGTTTTGATTACTATAGCTTTTTAGTATATTTTGAAGTCAGATAGCGTGATACCTCCAGCTTTGTTCTTTTTGCTGAAGATTTCTTTGGTTATTCAGGTCTTTTGTGGTTCCATGCAAATTTTAGGATTTTTTTTTCTATTTCTGTAAAAAAGGTTGTTGGAATTTTGATAGGGACTGCATTAAATCTGTATAAACATTTTAACAATATTAATTATGGAATTGTCAAATCTCTAGAGCTAAATTTCTCATAGTGAAATTCCATTCATCTCCAGTATAAGTCAAGTCAAACGAACACAAATTTCTGGAACTTTCACCAAGCCCTGGAATCACGCTGCCCTTCCTGCTTAGCCAGCCTGCTAACTCTCTTATGGTCACATGACTCCTGCCCAGCCCGGAGGTGATCCATTTAAAGACGCAAGAACAGAAACTGGCATATTAGTAAGAGCTCAAACACCATCATTAGTGATTATGCTGACGATGATTAGCCCACGCAGCATGATCAGCCACGTCAGTGCTGCTCTCACCAGGCACTGGATTTTTCTTAAGTGGGCACAGTGCCAAGCTTGATCCAGCTGCCTCCATCCATTTTTCCTATTCCTCCCCTCAACTGCAGAGCATCGCTAAAGAAAACTATAGAATCTTGATGCTCTCCCTACAAACTCATGCTAGCTTCAAATGTACTCCTAGCTGAGCGAAATCTTATTATTTACATAATATCATGTACCTTCCTTAGCATAGTCTCCAAACAAATTATCCCAAATCTCTATGTTACGTCTTTTCCACCTGCAGTCCCTTCTCCCACTCAACCCCCTCAGGAATTGATTTTCACACTATTTTATGTACACGTGTGTCTTCCTTAATATCTGAGAAGTAGAGTTTGTTCAATACCTATGCATCTGATTGAAACCCAAATGGACAATACTTAGTGTCCTTTCTACACTGACTTCTATTTCCTTTTTCCCAAAGAATTGGAGAAAATCTTAGCCAAATGCAAGTAAGGGAACATTTTCTGTGTTCATCCCATCCAGGCCCTTTTTGTTATATTGTGTCCACTAATTTTACTACTCTTCCTCTGTGTTCTACCTTACCCTGATCCAATTGGTTCTGTGTCAAAATGGTCACAGTGGTGACTACTATGAATCTGGCCATGGGTACATAGTGCTCCATCTCTTGGTCTGCAGTTGTTCAAGGTTCCCACTTTAAGTGAAGTCTTCATCACAATATTTGCATAGCTCCAGATAATTCTGTTCCTACCAAGAAGTGATAAATAGGTAGAGATGATGCAACTTGCAGCACATGTTCTCTTTGAACTGTTGTTCCTGCTCTCTGGGCATTGCTTCTCTCTCTTCTGCTCAGTTCTCTGAGCCTGGGGTAATCAAGTTCATTCCTACTATTTACATGACTGGGTCCCTCCCTTCTGTCTCCACTCCTGGTTCCACTGTGCACCACGAGGAGCCTCACATGCATGTGTGTGAATACCTCAGTCCAACGTCCATATATGTATACCTGCCAACAGCTGTCCATTGGTCATAACTGGGCTCTAAGGTTGTAGACATCAGCAGTGCAGTTCAGGTGGAGAGAGAGATGCAAAAGAAAAGGCTGGCCTAGGCCCTGAGAGCAGAGAATTCCAGAGAGCTCAGTGTATGGGGAGTGTGGTCTAGAGGATGTACCCAAGGAAGAGGATGGTGCACCCAGAGGAGGGACAGAGCATTCTTAAACAGGGGCCCAGAGCATGGGCCCCCATTGCCTGAGTCTAAGGGTGGTACTGCTACCTTCATCCTTTGCTGATCTGCATGATAGGTACCCATAGACAGCAGGGCCCAAACCTTCACTTGAAAAATGCAAAACATACATTTGGAAGTAATGAATTCTCTAGTGATTCCTGTGATGCCATATCAAACATTCCTTGATCTGTACAGCCTGAGGGGCTAACCATTTTTTACCACCTTCAAATGAGATACACAGAAACCTTCATCTCCATCTTAATATAAGGCATTTCCTCCTGAATCCTCTCTTCCTTTTCTCTTTTCTCTAAAAGAGTGTCATTCCTCATCATGGAGGCAGCATGTGGGCTGCATGATGGCTTTACATGGTACATAGAATGGACTTTTCTGAAGGCTAGAGACTGAATTTAATATGCATTATAAAAATATAACCAGCATGTCAAACCTGTGATATTGTTGCATATATTGATGCTAAGTAAAAATCTGAGTTGAATATATGTATGTGCATATACATATAAAATATTAGTAAGGAGCTGACTTAGACATGGCAAAAATGGTGAAAGTGGCAACGAAATGATAGCAGTTTGGGAAATGCTGCACAGAGGAGAGCTCATTAGGAAACACAATTAGGACACGCTCCTTGTCCTAGGTCTTCCACTTCACAGCTGTGCAAACCTGGCCCTGATGAAATCAGTTTTCCTCATCTGCCTATCACATAGAGGCTTTAGGAAGATAAAATGAAGAAATATGTAGAAAAGCTATAATGTGGTTCTCTCTAAGGCTGACCACCTCTCTGTAGTCCCAGTTCTCACATTTTCCAGATTCTGGCTTTCTCAACTGTACCTTTCTCTTTAATAGTTTTCATTTGTTCCTATTCACTGATATTGATTCAT